TTCTCCCTCCTCTCTTTCTCCTCACATCAAATTTTAATTGAAATTCGGTCTGTGACTATGATATTCTCTGTGATGTGCTTATTACCTCACAGTTTTGGACTTTAAGCTGGAAGACTTAACGGCAGTGGCGTCTGTAGCCTGACCTGTAGCGGTGAGGTTGTGAGTTCGGGGGTTCGAGCCTTCACTTGTTCGGACGTTGTGTCCTTGGGAACGACAATTTACACGAATTTGCTATTTGGCTCAGTCATATCGGAAATGGACATTAAACTCGGAGGTCTCGCTTTATAGTGTTGACAGAAGCTTTAAACCTAAACTGTACCATTTCGCTTGATCGTGCAGATGAACAGTATGTAAGGTGGGTTCTTGAACTCACAAAACAGATTACGTATTTTGTTAAATTGTTCAAATTATCCTTTGTTTAAAGTGAAAACACGGGTCTGTCAGTGTGTTTGCCTCGCTTGGAACTGCCTGCTCCTCAGTTGCGCCCCATTGGCAATATCTAGATCTTTTGGGAGGTGGGCTGTTTCGATCGGTTTACCATAGCTTAGTTGGATACAACAACTGAGCCGACAGACAGACATGCTCAATATAAAACTAAACAACATTTTAAAAAATTCCCTACTCAGGAATAAAAATCACGTCATATAATATGCTCGATGGGGAAGAGCCTTATAGGAGGCCATCATATTGTAGGCAATTTAAAAAAAAGAAAAGATTCCTGGTCCGTACGAATTTTTTTTAAAATGAAGTAAATCTGTAGCCATCAACAAAACCGTATCAAATGGTCAATCATCCGTAAAGATAGTCAAACCGCACCTTAGAACCAATCGTCCTCCTCTTGACTGTCAAGTGATACTTAGTAGATCTGTTAAATCATGAGGAAAATCTACTTCTACTTGAACACGAGATCATAATTATAACAAAAGGTATTCATAAGAGTATTGTTTCTCACTCAAAACGAATCTTAAGATCAATTTACCACATTAGAGTAGTGTTTATTTGTGAAACATCCCCAGCTCCCATTTCCTCCTTTCGCCCACCTATCTCCCCCTCACCCACCTATCCCCACCCTAACCACTACGTCCCATGTCGTGCGTGAAACTCGACGCCCCAGGACTGACACTCGCCAAGTTTGTATTATCAGAAAATTGAGGGACTCATAATTATCCCAGGCGAATATGAGTGGAACCATCTGTGTACATAATTACTACGGCAACACAAGGACCATCTTTGTACATAATTTCTGTGGCAACACAAGAACCAATTTCTCCATTTCTCGGACAGGTAGCACGGGTTATCAAGGGGCTATGAGCATCCTTTTTCACAACTTGAGTGTTATTTGTCTTGTTTGTCTTGTAACTAGTTCTGATTTCTCAGGGCGGAGTTGTTTGTACCATACCATTGACGTATTTTTTTCGGTCTTAGGTTGTTGTTTTTTTCTCAGATACGATTTTAGTTCCTCTGTTTCACTCCTCGCCCGTTTTCTCCTTAACACGGTCCACACGTGGAAAAAAGTGTCTTGTCTCTTTGTTTAGATACGTTCTGTTTACTGCGCTCGCAATAATATAAGGGCATGTGAACGCACGGGACGCATTTAACATTTTCAATAAGTAGAAATAAGCGTGGGTAGCGGCCGAATGCTAGTCTTATCGATGTTGGACCTAGAAGGAATCTTTAGCGTGAGCAACTTGCGCACGGGACCTCCGATATTTTTCGTCCTTATCCCAGAAAGCAAGTATTAGATCGTACCCTACATAAAATCAGGGGTTTGGCTGTAAGACAGCAGTAAGAAGAAGCAAAGGAGTAGCAGTAGAAAGGCTGCAGAAAGAGTCAGGAGCCAAGAGGAGGGGCAAAGGGGGTGGGGTGGGGGCAGGAAGTGGGGACGAAAGCGGACGACAGAACATAATTAGAGAGCAGGTAAGAAGGTGAAAAGAGAAAAAAAATTAGAGAACATTTTAGAGGAGAAATTTTTCCGTTGCTGTCAGGTTTTGAACTCGGGACGTATTAAAAGAGAGCCCCTGTGGCTTGTCCAGCATGGCGCAGACATTGTTCAGGTCAACGGTTTTGGTTACACGTGGACTATTGGGTCCAGTCTTCGATAAAAACTAATAATACTATTTTTAAAAAGCAGCCCCAGAAGCAAACGCCCCCCCCCCCTTGTAAGTTTATCACATAATCGGAATGTAATTATGGCGTTCTAAAAGTGCCCTCATTATTTTGTCTATTATGGTAGCAAACTTCTAGATGTTCATCGGATGATCCTTTGTAGCACTGCATTGTTAACAACAAGCCAACTAACGTCCTACTGTAACGAAGCAAAAAACTAAATCTTGAGAGTTGTGTTAGATGTCCTGTGTTTATTTGTGTCATTCACGATGTTTTGGTTTCAACAGATTCAATTTTGTTTTTCATTTCTTCTTTGCAGTCGTTCATGACAATCACACAAATACAACGTGATCTTTTTCAAGTGAGTTCCTCCCAAGAGCATAATTAGTTTGAAACAGAACTAGGGTTCCCCCCCCCCCCCCCA